CATGTAGCCTTTGCCAACAACTGATTCTTCCTTGAAAACAAAGAATAATTCGATTAAAATGGCCTGTACATCAACAAAGGTATCTGCATGGCTCCTGTGTTACGGTGCTCAAAATTCCACACCATAGACATTTCGGAAGTATAATATATCCATTATGATATGTTGTTAATCAGATTATAAAGTAATAAATGCTGTGTAAAGAAAACTGTAGATCAGCCGAGCATTTTATGCAGAATTCATATAAAGAGAAGAAAGACTGGAACCTCGATTACAGTGTTGTTAAAAAATACAAAACCATTATAATTTAATCCCAAGTGAAAAAATAAATCAGATGCTGTTCTTTGAGATGATGGAATTGAAGATTCCTTTTCTACTCTACATGTACAAGGGGATTTCTGAGCAGGTGCAAATAGATCTTGAATGTGGTGAAGTGTTTTTACAATACACAGTTTGAAAGATGTGTAAGTGACGAGTTATAATAGCGTCCTCCTTTGTCCAAACTTGTTTTGCAAAACTGAAAGTAATTAATTATGTATTTTTGTGGCTACAGCAGTTACTGTTAAAATATTTAACTGAAAATTTATCCTCATAGTGTAAGAGGGAAGAACCAAGGCACATATAATACCATTTTAAATGATTTTTCTCTAAAGTATGTGTAGCAATTGGAAATTAAAAAGTGAAATATACTCTCTAAGCCTGTAGGGTCCTTTTCATTATTTAATACTACCTCCTCATTACTATTTTGTAATTCAGAACTGTTTGAAGACCACATTTTTTTGTATCTATAAACTCTTTGGTCTCCAAATCTAACAGCTAACCATCATGCTTCCTCTTGGTGGAACCATCTCTTGGTGGCTCTCTGAGTGTGTGACCTGTATCATTTAATCAATTGACAACTTCACGTAATTCATCCTTCTGTTCTGAGGACAACTCTTGAAAGAATGTTGAGTAGGGTGTACAACTTTCCACATACACTTGCTCAGTTCCTCTATGTGAACCTGTATGATACACTAGCTGGAGAGGGCTTTTCTTTTTTTAAATCAGAGGGATAAAAAATATACTATACTTCAATGCATTCTCCAGAGTTGACATCTTAAGAACAGTGTAATGGCTTGGTGTGATAGTTCTCTTGCAACGCAAAGGCAGTGCCCTACAGCTTGGTGGGGTCTGAGTGGTGTTATAGTTAAGCTACAAGTCCCCAAAAGCCTTGTGTGACCATAGGTGGGACCTTTGGAAGGTGAGTGGATCATAGGGACTGTTATGATGCCTTACTGTTAGGAATGGGGCCTGGTTGGGACAGACAGGTCATGGTGGGTGTGATCCGGAAGTTGGTATCTCCCTTCCTGGCCCCTCCCTTAATCTCCATCTTCCATCTGTCCACCATGCTGTGAGCAGCATCTCCTCTGTCACACCCCTCTGCCATTCCCTCCTGGCTGCAAACCAGCTGCCTGTGGACTAAAACAGTGAGTGAAAATAAACCTTTCTTCCTACAAGTTGTGGGTATCAGGTACCAGGTCTCAGTGCCCTAAAAAGCAACTAAGAGAAAGGGTCAATATTAACTTTTGTGCCCTTGTTGGCAACACCCTTTTGCCAGCATAAAAACAGTATGTGCCCTCACTGTAGAGATACTGGGATTCCTTTTGTGGGATTCCTTTTAACTCTCAATTTATAGTTTTAATCTGAAAATGCTTGTGAGTGGGCTGCTGAGCAGGAAATGATTCTAAGACTCTGGTGGCCCACTTTATCTTTGCCCCCATTTGGGGCTGGTGGCAGTGAAAGAGAGGTTTGTGTTCTGTCAAACACCCAAGGCCTCCATGAAGCAAGGAGAAGAACATTGTGCTTATCACAGGGCTAGATTTAAAATACTTCAAAATAAAATGTTCAAGTGCCTGTGTCTCAGGACACTCGGGAATCTTAAGTGAAATACAGAGAATGTATGGGAAGAATTCAAAATGCCATTTTTATGTTTCTAATAAAATTAGGCAATGGAAGCTGGGTATTGTGGCACATGCCTATAATCCCAGCACTTGTGAGGCTGAGGCAGGAGGATCACCACGAGTTCAAGCCCAGCTTGGGCTACAAAGTGAGTTCAAGGCCAGCCTGAACTACACAGAGACTCCATCTCACTCTCCTAAAAAAATTCGTCAGTGGAAAATGATGTAATGATTCCTTTGCTTGCATCCATGAGCCCAGGACTGAGGAAGGTTAGGCAGGCTCTTTCCTCTGCTAAACTCATAATCAAGTAGCCTGCTGGGATTTTAACACAAGGATGAACCTCCAAACTCTGAAGACCAGTTCATGGGAGAGGGATTTTCAGGATCACTTATTCTTTTATTTTCCTTTTGGATTATTTTAAGTGGAATCACAGGTCATAGGACCAAAATCCTTAATAACCCATTATTTAGCTGAACGTTGGCAGCCAGTGCTAAAAGACATCATATATGTCATTTAAAGATTCATATACCTATAAAAATACAGTTGTCACAAGGGTTTCAGTGGCCGAAGATGAGAGAAATTGTTAATTATCTTTGGAAGCCAATGAGCTTTGTGCTCAGTGCCTTTTCATTTTTTATCAAAAGATCAAGAAGAATTACAACTAATGGTTTCATTTGGAAAATTGGCCAAATTCTAAAAGGTAACAAATAGTCATTTTTCTAAGATGTTTGATGGGTTATTTAAGGAAACTTTTCATGGGTTATTCAAGGAAAAAAAAGTGAAACCAAAACTTTGCTATCATGCTTAGTTACCCATCTCGAGCCACCATTAACCACCAGTTTCAACTGGTCGTTGTTGTTACGCTCATCATCCTTTCCTGTGGGTCACACAGAAGATCTTAATTTCTCTTACCTGTGGAATCTCCTAGCAACTCCAAAGAATCCCCACTGTCCCAGGAGCTCACTGCTTGCCCAGTCCCCCTGTCCCAAGATCCTAGGGCACCTGTTGCTCAGGTGAGAGGCTACTGCTGGTGGGCTGGTGACTTTAGGGATCCTGGCTTCCTTTGGGCTACAAAGCTGCCCAGCATCTTCTGAGCTTGAACAGAGGCTGTAAACTGCTGAGCCATGGGGACAGGGTGGTTTTGATGGGTTGTTTCTATGTGCATCAGTTCTAAGCCTGAAAAAATTCAGACAACTACACGGAGAATGGCTTTTTGACCAAAGAAGACCAAGAAACGGTACACAAGTACATGAAAATAAGCTTCACATTATACATAAGGGGGAAAGTACAAATAAAAGCAAGGCACCACTGCACCTTCCTTAGCACTGTCAAAAGTGAGAGCACTGACAATGCCAGATGCTGATGAGGATTTGGAGCAACAGGAATGCTCACTGGTCACTGGTGAGAATGCAAAGAGCACAGTCGCGCTGGAGGACTGCCATGGCCAACAGGATCCTGAGAGGGGGCACAGGAGATTGAGAAAAGACAAGACACACCAGAAGAGGAAAGCTGGCACCTGGCAGGACGCAGCCTCTGATGGAGTGGTGGCAGCACCATGCAGCCCCAGCGTCTTCCTTTATAGACAGTAAAAAGGGGTTAAGTACAAGTCTCAGTGTTTTGCTGAGAACACGGAAAGAGGGACATTCTCAGCACAATATGATCTGTGATTAATGACGACGGGGAACACAGAGGGGCCGGAAGCCTGCTGATATGCTGCTGAGCTGGAGGTCAACTTATTTACACACTTTGCCTCTAGCATCTCATGTTCCTGGAACTGGCTTTGCTCTGGTCCAAAGGGGTTCGCTGCCCTACAGAGGATGGTGGGCAGCTTCTCACACAGCTGTTTGATGCTCTTCCCATAGGACCCAGACATGGTGGTGAGTCCCCCTACCAAGGAAGTTGGAAAATTCCATTCACACCAAAAAGTGCACATAAAGAAAGTTTACAGCAGCTTTATTAATTGCCCAAACTTGGACTCAACCAAGATTCTTCAGTAGGTGAATGGTTGAAAAAGTGGCATACATGCAATGGAATATTATTTAGCACTAAAGTGAAATGGACTCTGAAACCAAGAGGGACCTTACACACATATTACGAAGTATAAAGAGCTACTCTGAAAAGGCTGCCTGCTGCACGATCCCAACTGTGATTCCCATAGAGTGTGCGATGCAGGAGTGAACTGTAGGGTGCATTGCAGACTGTGGGTGAAAAGGACACGTCTGTGTAGGCTCATCAATTGTAACAAGCTGCTGGTGAGTGATAGTAACAATGAGAGAGATCACGAATATGTAGGGACATGGGCATACTATCAAATCTATACCTTCTTTTCCATTTTACTCTGAATCTAAATCTGCTCCAAAGATACTAAAGCTCTAAAAATAACTTTTTGACTCTTTTTAAAAGAGATTTGACATGATAGGATCATTGTTCCCAATTACCCATCAGTTGGCACGCCTTGGTAACAATGCATCCCTACCCAGAGCTTCTCAAATCTTACATCTGATTTCCCCAGCAGCTCATTTCAACCATCCCCATCACCTGCACAGACCCTGTGATTGAAAGCACCACACTGAAGTCATGTTTAGAAGAGGGGCTCCGTACTTGGCAATCAATGTTGACTTTTGACTGCAGGCTGGGCTCTTGGTGAGGCAATTTCCCCTCAGCCAAGGAGCTACATTGAGAGAGTGGACAGCTAGTGAGCCATTAGAGGCCAACGGGCAGGAGTTGGGGCATTGGTGTACCTGCTTGTGAGGAGACTCTGGGTGGAGCACCGACAGTAGCTATAATAATACAGGAAACCAGTTAACTAGCAAGAAAAAAAACCAAGAAATTATTTTGAAGAAAACATTTCATTGTGAAAGGTTTGAATTAGGTAGTTGTTAAGCATTCAAATTTTATATAGTCGTATTTGAGATCGATAGGGTTTCTGTTCTTAGAATCATAGAAATCCTCGTGATCTCCATTGACCTGATTTTGACTGTGTTGTGTGGTGCACAAGTGCCTGTGTGAATGTGTGGAGAGCGAAGCCAGATTCTGGAATGTCACCGGTGTTTTCTAACATTTAGCACCTGCCCAGCTGAGGCCTCCTCAGATTAAAGGACTCAACAGCACCACAATCCATCTTACGTGGTTTCCACCTGAAGAAGTAAATGGACCCTCGCCTCTGTACCAGCTGGAAAGGAGAGAGTCGTCTCTACCAGCCCTGGCGGCCACTGTGATGAAAGGAACTCGTTTCACAGGAAATGGATATTATAAATTTCCCAGCACCACTCACCCCGTTGGTACTGACTTTACCGGTAAGTGTGTTTGGCAGTTTCATTTAGGAGCTGCTGAGCTCCAAGATGTTCTGTTATTTTAATATTCCTTTAAATTTTTTACTACTGTCTTCCTATTTATAGAAATACGAACTCAGTCCTTTTATAACTGTAGCCTGATTGTGTCAACATGTCCATCTTTTTAGAGTTCTGGAGGGGAAAACTGGGATGAGTAAGGTAAAGGCAAAGGGCGTGGCGAGGCAGGCTGATTGAATCAAAGTACAGCCAGCTCTCAGGCATTCGGTAGGAGAACGTGTTTCTCAGAACAATACTCGCCAGGTCCTGCGGTCAGAGGAGTTCGAGGGATTTCCAGTGCTTTCTCAGTGCATGAGGTTTTGGAAGCTAAGCATTATAAGAAAGCTACACAACTATATTAGATTGCACGTTCCTAATAGGTATCTGATGCATTGCTTCCTTTTCTCTTTCTCTCTCTTTCTTTTCTTCGTGCCAAAACTACCAATACCCCATAGTTCATAGAAAGCATTACGGGGAAAACTTAATTTCAGGGAAAACAAAGTTCTCTGAGTCAGGACTGTGCAAGGAAGACTTTTGCCCCAAGCATAAAATTTAAAGCCACTAAAAATCTCAGGATTGGTGCAAGTAGTATTTTAATGCAATATTTAAAGAAATGGAAATCTATGCAAAAAAAAAAAAAAAAAAAGAACAGAAAACTATCACAGTTCTAAATAAGGGGGAATTGGCCCATGAATGTACAGGCGCCTGCATCCTCACCTTATCCTGTAGCCTTCCTGGTATCCTTCAAGTCCTGTGGTCTCTGGGGGTTACAGTTGCTAATAGCACTGTCCAGAATGGCTCTGCACAACTGTAGCTCTTCAGGGCCCAGAGTTCATTTCTGTCATTTAAAGCAGTTACTAAGTATAAGGAGACCCACACACATTTGGATTGCAGAAGATCAATGCTAGATTTTCTTTGGCAGAAGACCAGTTAACGTGTCCCATATGATAGACTTCTAGGGTGTGAGGAGATAGCGAACCAAAGGCAAAGATCCTGATTCGATAAAACTTTGTGTCACATACAAAGGAAAGAGAAAAGATATACATTAGTCTACAAACTCAGAAAGATGTTCATTTAATTCGTGGGAAAGTCATTTTGGAGCAAATGCCTCATCCTTAAAATATTATGTAACTGATGATGATGAAATGGAATCTGAGCTCTAAAATGGAGTTTAAATATCATGGCTTAATTGTTACCTAAAACGGTAAGTAGCCTGCTCTTCAGCGAGGCTGTCCATTTGTTTTTTGCTTTTGGGTTATCATTCAGGCTGATGTCCATGTGTATTCGATTATAATTTAGCTGAATCTATTGAGATAAATGTATGTTGACCTGTTTTCCTAGTGTGTCAAAATCATTAACTGTTAGAAATTGAACATTAAACTCCCTTAAAGTGCTCCATTTCTATTAATAGTCTTAAAGATGAGAGAAAGGAATGCACAGATAACAGTATTTTTTTCCTCAAATGGAGTAGAAGCTACCTGCCTGGTCTGACATTTGGTCTGTGTACTTTCTTCAAGGAAGCAGCATTTGTTTCTGCTCACCGGGCCTGGCTGCTAAGCGGAAGCAGGCTTGGGCTCTGCTGGCTGTCAGACAGGTTTTGGCTGGGCTCACCTACTGTTGCTGCAGAGAAAGACAGAGTGGCCCGTCCACCACTAATAAATTTACTCCTGCTCGCTGTCTCCCTGGCCAGCCTTACACTCCAAGATGCAAGGGCTGGGGCAGATGTAATGTCTGGAAGTTTTCCAAATTCCTATTTCAAAAAGCTAGGCCATAAGCAGCGGCCTCGGAAGCAGGCTCCTTCTGTCTCTAGCAAAGCCTTCAGCTGCACAGAAAACGTGCTGGGAGCATGCGTCATTTGAAGGACGAGGCAGGGAGGTACATGGGGGTGGGAATGATTCCCAGGGGCTGCGATGCTTCCCGGAAGGTCAGTCCCCCTGTGTTCAGGCACGTGCTGGGACTCTGCTGAGTCCCTTTCGATTGGGTCCTTGCATTGCTTTTAAGATTGCTTTTAATTTTTAAAACAACCAGATGCATATCAGGTTCTGCATGGACCCTTTGGTTTACTTGCCAGAGTAGGTTAAATAACTGTCTAGATCATGGCTTCATTAAATTCACTCCATAAATGGACTTTGACAGATTTTTAAAACTAGCTGAACTGCTTTCTGGAAAGACACATTTCTTCTGAAATAGAGAACCAAGTGTCTAACTAGCCTCTGACGTCTTTCTTTGGGTACACATTCTTTCCGCCCTGCTACCTGTACTCAGCAAGTATTTTCACCCTGATAGCTGGAAGGATAAGTGGCCCCAGTAGGTGGCTTGGCCTAGAGCCACAGCTCTGAATTTCAGGGCTTGATCATGAGTGAGAGCCTGAGCTCTGTCACAGAGAAGGAGGGGAGCTAGTGACAGTTCTTTGGAAGTTTCTGAATGATAACACAAAAGCTAAAACGATGGACGGCAGTGAGATGACTACTGCTAAAGAGCACACACCCAGCTCTGCTAGCTCTGGGCGCCTGGCCTTCCTTTCATTGATAGGTAACACGCGCGAGCGGTGTTAGCACTATTTATTTACTTTGCATAGAATTTCCTTTTATTTGTACCCCTAAAGACATTTGGGGCTAGGCTTTTTTCCCCTATAGCAATTAATTCCCGAATACTTCTAGAAGCTAGATGCCTCTGTGTGAGGCTATAGCTTCTAGTCACCTTTCTTGTATATTCTGTAAAATGGTTCTATTCTGAGACAAATTTAACAAGCCAGTCCTTAATAAGAAACCTCCAGCACGATGAAGTGCGTATTGAAAATTAATAATCTTAAGAATAACCAGTTCCTTATTTTGAAGGATTAATTTACATCTCAAGCATTAGCTAAAATGACTCCGAAAGTAGGAATGGAAATCAGTTAACACCCAAAGACAAATCTATGGTAATGTGCATTTTTATATAAGAAAAATAACTCAGATTTTACACATGGGTGATAGGATTTGTAAATGCATTCACAACACATTCCATGCTCATGAGCAAGGTGTTGAAAGTCTAGCATAAAATATCTCATTGTTGCAATATACGAATCTCTTATATAACCTCCTCCTCTTTTCACATTTTCTCTAAATATTTTTACTTTGAACAATATAAGAACAATCCAGGCATGCAAATATATGTCCTAAGGTTGTAATTAAAATTAGTATTGTAGATGGATTCTGTAAATTTCTTCTTTGAGCAGCATATTGAAGCAGATAAAGCTTTTTGTGGAGGTGTCTGTGCCTTTTTTTCTTCTGACACAAATGTTCTTTCAAAAATCTATCTCCAGGTAGTCTATTACAGTATCAGTCATTTGCATCATAGTGTAAATTTAAGACCATGTATCTACTCCTCTGCTTCTGTACAATGTGGGAGGAATTGGGGAGTGGCCGCCCACTGAATGATGAATTTTCCGCTCTGTCTGTTCCTCGGATTGCTTGGTACCCATGAACCTTTAGCTACCAGCTGCTTTCCATGTAAGACATAGTTTTGAGCTCCTGCTATAGGATAAGCAGCATTGCTTCTTCCAAGGTAGCAACAGCAGACAGAGTATCACTGGTTTTATGCAGCTGGATGGGAGTTTGGCTGTGTCGAGAGAAAGAGAGAGAGAGAGAGAGAGAGAGAGAGAGAGAGAGAGAGAGAACATGCATATTCTTTCAGGAGCGCAGAGTAAATCCACTTGATGTACACAGAGCTTAGTTCTTCCCATGTAGTGCTTGGTTCCGAGTGGAACCTGATAAAAACAGTGACTAAAGTCTGCTCCGATTGGCATTCCAAAGGTGTCCCTTTCTCTCCTTGTCACTTTTTTCCTATTAGCAGAAAAGGGTCCATGATCATTGGAGGAAGGTTTGCGTATTGTAGTGTGGTGTTCAGATGCCAATCACAGCAGCCTTGAAAGCTCCCTTCACTGGTGACCCTGCCGGGAAATCAGGAACTGCCGTGGGGAGATCTTTGTAGAAGCCACGGGGGAGATGTGCACACGTGTGCACCTGGATGCAATTCCCTTTTATTTGTCTTCAGGAGAAATGTGATTACTGAAGTCGAGTATCTTGCAGATGAGAATTCTGTACCGTTTCTCCATAATAATGCCGTTCAAGGACACCAAACGACTGTCATTCATTTTTGTCTTGTAGTAGTCACCTTCCCCCAAATATCTCAGCCACAAAATGCTTTAGGATGCAACCCATGATTAATTATCAAGGTATGAGAAAAGAAATGCAATCCTTCCAAATCAATATTCTTTAAAAGCGTATGTTTTATTTCTGTGACTGTCTACTATATTCCTGCTTTATTATTATTTTTGTTATTTTTAGTGAATTGGGACACTTCAGCACTTCATTAAAAGAAAGCTGATTATAAGCAGTTATAGAGAAGATGCAAGCGGGTAAACTTCTTGAGCTAGACTAATTAGTAAAAGCATATTAATTCTGACCTTCGACGCCCTTGCTGTCCCAGTATTTGTTTTTCTCACAACGAGATCAAATAATTCTGCCAGGAAGTGACTTTTTTTTTTTTAAGGAAAGAACAAAACAACTAAGCAAAACCCCAAATCTTTCCCAGCTAGATTTAAATCATAAATTTGGTTAACATTCGATACTAGATTTTGGGTATAATTACTAAAAAACAAATATGCAAATTGGCTGTGTGGCCTTGCAGTTTAGAGACCAGGCAATAATGACCCAGAGAAATAAACACAAAGTAAGAACACGGGTGTGACAGCCCGGTGAGAAGAATGCCTTTCGGAGCACCGGGGCAGGAGATGTCTGTGCTTTCACATTGTCACAGAAGTGGGAGGTTCTAGCATGCTTGGTCGAATTCATTGTTTTGTTAGAAGAATGGAAGTCAGACTAATTCATGGTGACCATGGGGCGACATTAAAGCCACCTTGCCACTGTGTCACGTTTATGGTGTTTAGAAGGAGAAGCAGGTACATGCTTAGGAAATGCCTTGGG